ATTGGGATGAAACATTTCTCACTGCTTGTTACCTTATAAACTGTATGCTGATTCGTACAATTCAAAATTCTACCCCCATCACGCGTCTTTTGAACATCATACCCGACTACACCTTCTTACGCACCTTTGGGTGTGCTTGTTGGCCAAGTTTACGTAAATATAATCCACATAAACTCTCTTTTAGATCCACCTTATGTGTTTTCTTGGGTTATAGTTCTATGCATAAAGGGTACAAGTGCCTAGATAAACAAACACGTAGAATTTACATTTCTCGTGATGTGGTTTTTGATGAGTCTTGGTTTCTGTTTGCAACACCTTTGTCGTCGTTATCACCACCACCTTTCCCAAGTGTGTCGTTTCCTCTAAACGAGCCACATGATATAGATGACCACATGAGAAAATATGATATATCTTTGTTATTAGCTAACCCTATTTATGCAGCTACAGCTCCCTCGATGAAAAGCACCATGACCATTCCACCTCCCAGTTCGTCCACGATGCCCATTCCAAATATTTCACCGCCAGTGCCCTTCAACACTGTCGATGTTCAGTTCTCCCCTGATGTGCTAACTACAACTCCTATTTCCACAAACGAATCAACTCCAGCAACTACCGATACAACTCCTCCATCACCGTCTCCTGTTCCAGCAAGTCCATCGGTAACTTCAACCAGTTCCTCGAACACTCCATCAGGTGTTACGACACGAGGACAGGTAGGAAAATTCTTTCCTAAACGGTTCTCTGATGGAACAATTCTTTACAATCCAAATAGGAGAGCTTTCTTTGCTGAACCTGCATCCCATCAGCTTGCTCTTGCTAACCTTCAATGGAGACGTGCAATGGAAGATGAGTTTACTGCACTAAAGAAAAACAACACCTGGTCGCTAGTTCCCAAACCACAAGGGGAAAACATAGTCGGGTAATGGATTTTTAAAACCAAACTGAAACCTGATGGTTCTCTTGACAAACATAAGGCACGATTAGTTGTTCGTGGGTTTACTCAACAATATGGTATTGATTATCAAGATACTTTTAGTCCGGTGGTCAAACCTACCACGGTCCGCTTGGTTTTAGCTCTTGTTGTCTCCAAAAGTTGGCATCTTAGGCAAATTGATGTTAGCAATGCCTTCTTACATGGATTCTTAAATGAGGAGGTTTACATGAAACAACCTCCTGGTTTTAAAGATTCTCAACATCCTGATTATGTGTGCAAACTTCAGAAAGCTATCTATGGTCTGAAACAATCACCGCGTGCCTGGTTTTCTCGTCTTAGTGACAAATTGCATCATCTTGGCTTCTGCTCGTCTAAGGCTGACACTTTTTTGTTTGTATTTCATCATGGCCAACATACCATCCACATGTTGGTTTATGTAGATGATATAGTTATTGCTGGTTCTTCTAAAGGTATTGTGGATCAACTTGTGAAAAATATTTCCCTGTCGTTTCCAATCAAAGATCTTGGTTGTCTCAATTATATTCTTGGGATTTAAGTCACTCACAATTCAGGGGGAATTACATTATTTCAGCACAAGTATGCGTCTGATCTTATTCATCGAGCTCACATGGAGAATTGTAAGAGTGTTTCAACCCCCATGTCCGTCACAGATAAACTTACTAAGGATTATGGTAAATTATTAAGTAGTGATGATGTCTTCAAGTATAGGAGTATGGTTGGGGGTTTACAATATCTTACCTTAACTAGACCAGACATTTCATTTGCAGTCAACAAGGTTTGCCAGTATCTCTCCAAACCTACATATATGCATTAGGAGGCGGTAAAACGTATACTTAGGTATATAAAAGGCACTATTAATACAGGTCTAAGTATTCAAAAAGCTAGTTCCACTCTACTTAGTGTCTTTACAGATGCAGATTGGGCTGGTTGCTTAGATTATCGTAGGTCTACTGGTGGATTTGATGTGTTCTTGGGTCCGAATTTGATCTCATGGAGTTCTCGTAAACAACCTACGGTATCCCGCTCAAGTACAGAAGCAGAATATAAGGCTTTGGCTAATGGTACGGCTGAAGTAATATGGGTGCAATCATTACTCAAAGAGCTTGGAGTTTGTCAGTTGAGACCACCGGTTTTATGGTGCGACAACTTAGGTGCTACCTATCTAACAGCAAATCCTGTGTTTCATGCAAGAACTAAACACATTGAAGTCGATTTCCATTTTGTCAGAGAGAGGGTAGCAATGGGTGTACTTGACGTTCGTTTCATCTCTACTAAGGATCAGATAGCTGATGGATTTACTAAACCAATTACTCATCATATGTTGAATCAGCTGAAGTACAATCTTAATCTTGTAACAGTTAAGATTGAGGAGGAATGTAAACAGAAGGATTATTAGATAAAGTCAAATAATAAATAGATAATTAGATTCGATTTCTTGTATATATCTAATAGTTGCTGTATAAATCCAGGTCCTATTCTTTAGGATATATCCATTGTAATTGTGATCTCTCTCTCTCTCTCTCTCTCTCTCTATATATATATATATATATATATATATTATCTATATATATATATATATATATATATATATATATATATATAAACTGAATATACTCTTGTGAGGGTCATTAAGCCAATTCAATCTCGTTATATTTTTTCTAAGCCTTCTGAAAAGTATGGATGGGTAACTTGAAGGATTAAGAGTTTAATGCATTAAGTTGGCCAGAACAGTTCCCATGACGTGGAGGTTTAGTTCCTACAACGTGGCATTAGGTGGTCCTCGCGACTGTTTTGTCGTGAGGTCACCACTGCGTGGAAAATGCTTGGCCACGACATGGTGACCAACTGATGGACTTTTTATCGTTGAATTTTTTACTAAGTTCGCTTTCGGTCAACTTGAGGGGTTTGGGCTTTGGACTGAGAATTGGTCCCTGGTTGTTGTATATGTGACTCGTAGTACCAGTTCTTGGATTGTGGGAGTTGTACTCTTATCTGCTAGGTTGCAAGGTGAGTTCTCTCACTATACTTTGTACTACAATATGTATCTTTGTGTGTAGGATGTTGGTATGTTGTAGTGATATAGTAGATTGGTAGATATGTTATGATTAACTTTATTGTTGGTTATTATTTGTTTGTTTGTTTGTATATGTCAACATATTGTGGTTGGATTGAGGCGTACCTGCTTTGTGTTGTAGGCCAAGATAATCGGGCGGTCCAGGTGTACTGTAGGCCTTGCGAGGCGGTCCAGTCAGACTGTAGGCCTAAGGGAGTGGTCCAGCTTCCGTAGGCCTTGCGAGGCGGTCCAGTGACTGTATGCTCAGTAGAGCGATCCAGTCTCCTGTAGGCCTTACGAGGCGGTCCAAGCAGACTGAAGGCTCATGTGTGCATGTGTTGTATGTGTATTGTTGTGTGGGGTATTTCGGGGGAACTCACTAAGCTTTGGCTTACAGTTGTGGGTTTAAATGTTTCAGGTACTTCGGATGATCGGAGAAAGGCGAAGGCGTGATCGTACAGACCATCATATGAATTTATGTTGAGAGATGTTATTGAATACTCTAATTTTTATGACTATGTTTTGGAAACAATGTTTTGGAAACAATGTTTTGTATGACTTATGGTTTTTATGAAAATGACTTTTGAAAAATCAAAATTTTTACTATGTTTTTTGGGACGTTACATACTACCTCGTGTCCTTTTCTCATCAATATAGTCATATTGCGCCTATCTTTATCATTTCCTATGTGTGATTTTGGTCCATTATCCTAGTCCATGACATTTCTGCCTCTCACAGCTCCAAGGGAAATTTTTTGTCCCGTGTTGCTTTTGCTTAAGAGATTCTTGTATGTGTTGACATAACCACGTGTAACCCCTGTAGTACCCCCACTGACATGAAACCCAAGCTTTCCACTGTTGGATATCTGATCTCTAACCCCAAGCGCGGAGCCTTTTCGGAGCTTTATAATATTTGGCATTCACTCATCCGGATATATCTTATGTTGTCTAAGAAGTCTGTCCTCCGTGTTATGCACTTCATCACTCTCAAACGCATCCTATGGTACCTCAAAGGCACTTTGATGCACGACATTTACATTCTTCTGCTAGTCATCGACCACTTGGTCTCATATTCTGATGTTGATTTCGTTGGCAGCTCCATGACATTTCAGTCCACATCTAGGTTGTACATATATCTTGATGATAAGCTTTCTGGTCCTCCAAATGACAACATGTTTTTTCCCGTTCCAGTGTCGAGTTTGAGTAACGGGGGTAGCTAATGTTGTGCCAAAAGTTGGTTGCCTTCAAAATCTTCTACTCAAGCTTTCTTGTTCACTTTTCTGAGCCACTGTTGTTTTTTGTGATAATGTTAGTACCATGAATTTAGATTCAAACCCAATACAACACCAACATACTAAGCATGTAGAAATTGATTCACAGTTTTTTATATTGAGATCAATACAAGCATAAACCATACAAGGGTTTTCTACAATATCAAGCAATAATACAATACTAACTACCAATTTTTTTGTTCAGTTGATAACATGTTGATTGGTTTTTCTTAGTACAAATAAGAGCCCTAACTCGTATTGTATGAATTGTTACATCACACATGAAGAACAAATACTTTTGTTCTATCCAAACTATCATAGTCTTTCATCACAAAAGCATTACACTACCTTCTCTTATTGTATCCATCTTTAAATATGTAAGAACTAGTAGAAGGTTTTGTCCATTTTTACACTATACTCGACCAATTATGATATCGATCAAAACCAAACCAAGCAAAACCGTCTCCATTTACAAGGTTTGATGACTTTTTTCATATGTATCCCCTCTGACCATGATACATAATTCATCACATATATTATACATGACACACTTTGTAAAACAATATACCTTGTTTTTTATTGTTAAAGTGATCAATTCAATAAGATTATAATGTATTATAATTATTTTAAAAATAAGAACAAAAGGACTAAACCAAGAAAATAGCATTTTTTTTTACCTAAAGATCTTGAACAAAATCTAGGGAAAATTTTGTAAAATTATTCACGTTCTTGTCATTTACCATTATTCTAATTCATGTTTATATGATTACCACTTTGATTCTTGATAAAAAAAATATATATATAGATTCTAAACAGCCAAACTCTTTAAGGCGATTTCATATACGTTCTCTGAGACCCCATTAGCCGACACAATCATCTCCAGTTGTGCCTGATTTTCCATTTTTGTCAAGAATTAGCAACATACTTTAAAAAAAAATTATTATTATATCATATGATAATTAAAGGTCAAGACTCATTACCTTGGCAAGATTTTGGCGGGTATCGTCATAGCGATTCCATCTAGAAAAGGATGAAACCACCCCAGATGCCATCTGGATCAAGACAAGGGTAAAATGGTAACTTCAACGACCCCATAAGTTTTGTATTGTTAAAGGGTTAGATGCAGGAGATGGCAACATAGTTTTTTTTTTGTTCATTCTATAGCATCCTACTTTCAGTTCTCCCTACTATAACATTGTACTTTATACAATCTACCTAATTATAGCAATTTACTTTCAATTTTGTTTTCTTATCAAGACATTGTACTTTGAAAATCCACCCAATATAACAATGTCATCAAAATACAAAGCAATTTTCAGAGTATAATGTTCTAATAAGAAAAAAAACTAAAATACAATGTTGCAATATAAAGAAAAGTAAGCAAATAACCACAACAAAGAAAGTACGTTGCAATTTGTTTTTTCTTGCATCTATCCTTATTCTAAAATGTTGTATAGAATTTAAGGGTGTCTTAAAATTCTGATTTTGGTCTGACCCAAAAGAAGAAAAATAAAGAAAGGTAATTAAGTTATTTTCACCTGAGGGTTTAGTTTGTCAAGCAGCAGCACAAGGTCTCCCACGAATTTGTAACCTGAACCATCTTTAGCATGAAAGTTAACATATGATGCACGAAATCCTCCAATAACCGAAAACATCTGTCCAAAAATCAAAGTTCAAGAAAATACATAATCACATTTAATATATTAAATGCGATTACAAAGGCTATCATCAAAACAGTGAGATTCAATTTTAATATTTCTTATTGTAGCCTTAATTGGGATTGGGTTTTAATCATTTTTTATTATGAATTTATTTAGTTTATAATTACAACATGTATAAAGTAGATTTGAGATAATATGTCATGTTTAAATATAATAAAAAATTCATATAAAAAACCATTCCATTCCTACACGCCAACCAACAGGAGCACTGAATATTTGAAAGTAATTCCTCATTCCATTACCCTGTCCATTCCATTCCTTCCAACTAAACACACGATTACAATATGCTTCAACTTCTAAACCATTGAAACCCATTTATCTTTTTCAGTAATTGTTTTCTTTTTCTTCAAATTCTACCCAATTGGTCCTTATCATTCATATATAAACTCAAACCAAATCATATTCCCATATAAAAAATGGTGACCAAAATGAGACTAGAGTTCTGACCTTGTTGGCATTTGTTAGGTCAAACGATGGATGATCCAAAAGTTTCTTAACATTCTCAACATTCCCAGGAATATCCGATGCAGATTGAAGCGAAAGCCACTTGTTAACAACCTAAAAAAAACAAACATAAAAAATATCCATTTTTTTTTAATTTAATAAATCTAAATAAATTACATAAAGTAACAATTTACCAAGAAGTCATGTTTCCATTTGTTATAAAAGTCAGCCAAAGCATCTTCACGGGCTTTACCCGGTTTTTGAGCAATGGCTGCAAGAGCTGAGAATTGATCTGTCATATTTGTTGCACTTTTGTACTCATTCAACACAAGCTCACTGTTTTCTTCATCTTCAAGAGTCGCAAGATACCCTTTTTTTCAAAATCATAAACATCGATACGCACCAATATTAAAAAAAAAGGGTACTTAAGAGCAAAAATATATATATATACCAAGGGCAGTGTTCTTAAGAGCACGTCTTGCCATATTAACATGGTCAAACTCATACTTCTCTGAGCTCCTGTTTTCTTTCACCTGTCAAAATGAATTCACAAAATGTTCATATGTGGAGCGGGGTGGGTAGTAGGCATATTTTTTTACCTTGTTTATGAATTCTTGCTTCAACTCCAAAGCAAGTTGCTTTCTGATAAAAGATCGAACAGCATGAACAGCATCAGGGTCTGCTACTTCCATCATGTCCATAATCTCACCTTCACCAGGGAGAGTTATTGCTTTTGCAATAAATTCCTAAATAAAAAGAAATAAACCTAGTGTTCAATTACCTCAAATCTTGAAAACTATAAGAAACAAAAAAAAAAAAAAAACCGTTCAAGAAAAATACCTTGTCTAGACTCGAATCCAAAAGTATACATTTGATACCATGAACAAATTGTGGATCAAGTACCAATTTATCATCTTTTTGAAAGTTAACAACTTGAGTGAGCACCAGTTTCCTTGCCAATATTTGTCCAGCTTCCCAACTGCAATATTAATAATAGTTCAATAGCTAAATCAATAAATTGGTGAAACTACATAACATTATATTTTTTTGTGTTTTGTCCTTTCTCAAAAGTGGATAACTGGAACAAATTGTTTCTTTAAAGTGTCACATAAACGTATGATGGTCTATTACTAATTTACTACAGAAAATAGTAAAGAGGCTACAATGATAATACTAGTTAAATGCAACAAAAATAACTTGTTTATTATAGCATCATTCTTTCATTTCTTCCTATTACAACATTGTAATTTTAAAAAATCACCATATTTTACAATGCCTTAGTAAGAAAAACCTGAAAGTACAATGATGTAACATAAAGAAATGAAAGTAGGATGCTATAATACACAATTATATGAATGTACATTGCAATTTCTTACCGATTAAATCCATCTGAATCATGAGCAAGAAGGAAAAACAAATTGTTTTCTGTAAGATCAGAGTGTAGGCGAATAGGAGCACTATAACCCCTTAGCAGAGATGGTATCGGTTTTTCATCCAAATCATGGAATACAAATTCTTCTTCACCCTAAATTTAAGACACAAAAATGATTTAGTTTGTAAGATGAATAACTAATAAAAGTTTTCAGGGCCCCTACAAAGTGTAAAATTACCTTTGTAACCCTGAGACAGTAGTGTAGACAGGCTGACCACCAGATATGATGGACTCTAACTTCCCATCATGATAGAAAGATGATAATGGCATATCTTTGCCATTTGAATCAAGAAGCCCCATAGCCACAGGAATGAACATTGGCTCTTTTATCGGCTGACCTGGCGTAGGTGGCACCGTTTGACTGAAAAAAAAAAATTACAACGGTAATTTATAAAAAAAAAAAAAATCAAAATAATGATCAGAAAGATGCTAGCTGAAAAGTTAGCTGCAAGTTGATAAAAAAAATGATGCTTGATAAAAACTAGTTGATAAATGTAAAATGAAATAGGACATGTACAAAAATGATTCAATGCCATAAGAGAAATACGTAATACATTTCATTGAATTAAAATAGGTAATACATAACACTTCTCTAGTTATTTGTGTTTAATTGAAATTTTGTGCATCACATATCATATTCACAATATTATCACGAATTTCTAAAGGCCCCAATCTTTTTCCATTGTATCATAGTTGTTCTTTACTTTTTTTAATGACATCTTTTACCAACCTTTTTAGATAAATCTTTTTTCATTATATCATATATTTTCTAATTTAGATAACACCTTAATTTGATTATCAACTTTAAAAACAAATTTTTAAAGTTATTGAATGTTTTCTAAAATTAATAAGAAAAATGATAAGTATGTCTAATTTGTCGGTAATCATCAATGTTTCGTTGTAGATATCATGTATTAAAATAAGTCAAACAAAACCTTGTTTTCATGTTTAATTGCGTTGTTTTTATTTTTAAATGACAAATTCATCATCAAATAACTAATACATAACATTTATTGTGGTTTTCAAAAACTAATAAAGGGTATATTCAGAAGAATTTAGAAAAAGCTCCATAAGCTCTTTAAAACGATGGTCTGGGTAGTTTTTTTAGAAAAAGTAGTTTATAAGCTACTTTTTAGTTTGCAAATATGACAACCCAAAAAGCTTGAAAATAAGTCAGTTGTGGCATGTCAAACATAACCTTAGTCTCACATGATTTCTTTTTAGGTCAGACAAAAAAAAAATGTAATTTTGTCTCATTGAAATCGGTTATGCTCAACCTTTTTAGGTGGATAGGACAAAAACTTATACTTTTTGTCCCACTATATCAGTCTCAGTCTCAAGACTCCAATGCACACAGTGCCTTAAAAACTTACCTAAATTTCAAAGAGAAGGTACGAGCTTCGACATTGTAAGAAGATTTAACCTCCACGATAGGGGTACCGGCTTGTGAATACCTAAACATGAGTCATGTTTGTTAACATAATAAATATTTTAACAAAAACCGTAAAAATAAAGGTGGTAAAAATGAAATATACCATAATAAGAAATTAGCAAAATCCGCATTGTTAGCATCTCGCATAGCAGCAAAGAAATCTTCACAAGTTACTGCTTGCCCATCATGCCTTTTAAAGTACAGATCTGTCCCCTAAAACAACAAACATTAATTCTACAATAAAACTAAGTGCTAAACGCAAAAAAATAGCAGCATGCTTTCATTTGTTTCAGTATTATAGCATCCTACTTTTGTTTTTTCTATTATAACATTGTTTTTTGTAAAAATCTACCAAATAATAGCGTTGCACTTCACTACTTCCAACTTTTTTCCTTATAAAAAATCTATTACCTTCCGAAACCCTTCACTTCCCAATAAAGTTTTGTACATGCGGACAATTTCAGCACCCTTTTCGTACACCTGTAAATATAAATTATACAGAAAAAGGAATTCCTGATTTATCATCTTTTTGTTTATTCATGTCGAAATTGAACAAAGAGTAAACCAAGGGTGAATATATCAGAACCATACCGTTGATGTATAGAAATTGTCCACCTGGAGGAGGGAAAAGAAAAATAGTTGAAAGTAGAGGGTAAGTTTTGAAGCTTTAATAGAAAAAAGAGAGATTTAAAAAAACGAAAATGAGTTCCAGACCTTAATATAAGAGTGAGGCCTAACAGGGTGAGCCATGGGTCCCGCATCCTAAAAAAGACAACGATTATTACAATTATGAAAAGGAAAAAACAATATTTAATTCATGTCCAGTTAGATTAAAGATGAAAACCCGTGAAAATTGGTATGTACGAAGCTTTGAAACATCACCAATTCTCTTAACTGTACGACTGCCTAAATCAGATGAAAATTCCTGCAAAACATGTTATAATCATTAAACGCTTATTAATGCAAAGGATATAATATAATGATTTTTTTTTTAAATTCTGCAACAAGATCTTACTTGATCACGAAAAACGGTAAGACCTTCCTTCAAACTCAATTGGAACCAATCACGACATGTCACTCTATAAAGGTATATAAAAATCAGAAAGATATTTCATATTTTTTAGAATATAATCAATAAAAGTTATATAAGCGAACCTGTTGCCAGTCCAGTTATGGAAATACTACAATATATAGAAGGGTATACATACACGTTATTATTTAAGCAATTAAGTGATATAATTTTTCTTAAAAAAAGATCAAATGAATAAAAAATCTCAAACCTCGTGACCAATAACACCCAAAATTGCAGCATAATCTGCATCTGATGCAGTCTCCGGTGATGCCAAAACAAGCTTAGAATTGAATATCTATTAAAAATGAAAAAAAGATTAATAAAAAACATTTTTTTTATTCAGAAAAAAGATTATATACTTTATAGCTATATAATTTACTACTACATGTCTATACACATACATTCAAGCTCTTGTTTTCCATGGCTCCCCTGTCAATTTAGAACCAATTAAAATGTAAGTATGGAAAGAAAATCCAGACAAATAAAAAAACTTTTGCTTACAAGAAATCGGGAACAACTACGATGTTGAAGAGATCAAGATCATACTCTCGCCCAAAAACCTAAAGTAAGAGATGAAAAGACGAAAACGCCCTTGAGTAAATATGTAAGAAAAAAAGGTGGAAATGAGTATATGGAGAGAAGAACGAACATCTTCATCCCATTTCATGGCGGCTTTGAGAGAATACATGGCGTGTTCGGATTTTGGGAGATCATGTGGTGAGGTCCATATTCTTAAAGCAACTTCACGACCCGAGCATGTTGTGAAAGTGTCATCTCTGCTCTCTAATTGACCTGCAACCAATGCAAAAAGATAGCAAGGTTTCTTGAACGGGTCCTCCCAAACAGCAAAATGCTTCCCACCCTGAAATCAAGAACTCAATCTGGTAAGCTATATATGGATGTTTCTTTTTTACTTAATGCAAAAAGAATGACTTAATTTGGTAAGACATATATGAGTGTTTTTCTTTTTACTTTGTGAAGAAAGAATGAATGACAAGATTTTGTAAGGTATATATAGATGTTTCTTTTTTTACTTAATGTAGACAAAATTTTATAAAATGTATATGGATGTTTCTTTTTCAATTAATAAAGAACGATAAATCTTGGTAAGGTTTTATATGAGTGTTTCTTTGACTTAATGCACAACCAGCGACTTAATTTGATAATCTATATATGGGTGTTTCCTTTTAAACTACATATTGGTGTAATTATAACAAGATGATACCTAATCAACAATTTAATATTGGTTTCATTTAGGTTGTCAAAATGAAACCAATTGCCCCTGCTGCAACGTGCAAACATTTTACTAGAATATATATATATATATATATATATATATATATATATATATATATATATATGTTAGGAAGTAAAGTAGATAACTAGCAAATAACAAAAGCACACAAGACACGGTATTTACATGGTTCGGTGAAGGTGACTTACGTTTACAGGCAGGATGTGAGTATTTTTTATTTTATAGTTCTTAAACAGATGTTACAAGTACAAATTCACAGAGATTCACCTATCACTCTAAAATACAAGACACTTTAAAATGACTAGCATGCATCCCTATTTATACTGAAGGGATCAGACTTAAAGCCCTAATGGGTCAAACCCATTGGCCCGTAGGCCTATGAAAGGTGTCAACCAATCATAATCCGTCATGCAGAAGCTTCTGGAACAGTCATCCATGACATACAACACATGAGTATCAATAACGCACATTATGGAGCACCATGAGCCATAATGGAGCATCATGATGCACATGTGGCGCATCATGAACACTAGTTGCCCAAAATCCATCATGGTGGCACATCATGGTGTACTCCTTAAGCATCACCAACTTCTAGAGCATCCTTGAACAATCTTAAGCATCATAGAGGACTTCATAGCATACATGACTCATCAGGGATACCATGGCGCATCTTGCATGATGATGGCCCATCTTGTGCAAGGATGGCGCAACATCCTTCAAGCTTGGCACAACCTCCTTCCAAGGTGGCGCAGTTGCAACTTCCTTCCAAGGTGGCACAAGATATTCCAGCTTGGCGCAACTTCTTCCACTTTGGTGAAACATCTACCAGAGTCGCGCAACATGGTCCAAAGTGGTGCAACATGCTTCCTAAATGGCGCAACATGTTTTCCACTTAGCCCAACACCTAATCAAATGGAGCAACTATGCATCAAGTTGTCCCATTCCACTCCCAAGTGCTCCAAACCTCTTCCAGGTGCTCCATACCCCCCTTTTAGACGATCTGTTCCTTTGGAACTTGATCCGTTTATTTGTTAGATGATTCGTTCCCTTCTCAGATGATCCATTCCTTTGTTACATGCTCCATGAACCCCAAGTGTTCCATTGAGTTGCAACTTGCAAGTGGTCCATTGAATTCAAATGTTCCATGAGAATGCTCCAAATGCTCAAGTCACATACATACATGCATGTTTGCCTGCCCCCTCCCCTCACCCACTCACACACACATACACAAAAAAAACTAGTTATTTTTTTACCATAACGTGTTTGTTCAACTTTATGATGCATTGAACCCGATTCAAAGTTACAAATTGATAATGCCCGCTAGTTTTGCCTTAACCATCCTTTAACCTCGACTCCACAATCCCTACCACGTTTCTCTTCCCACGTTCTTTGCTCTCACTCCCACATTCTGCAACCACCACAATCTCTCAACCTCTCGTTATATACTCGATCTAAACCATATCTCTCAAGTTAGACTCTCGATCTCCTGCTTTGAATCCCTCTTTCACTCGATTTTCTTTTGTTTCATTTGATTTAAATACATCCGGTATACATTTCTAATTTGATTTGATTTTTTTACAAGTTATTTGAAGAAAAAAAAATGGACATTAATTATAAATATAAATATACTGAGGGTTCAAATATGTAATTTACTCTATTTTAATTATTTGGTAGACTTAATATAAAGAAATGACAAATATGATTATACATGATAAACGTTTTCAACCGGTACAAATTGTTTGTTATAAAATTATAATAAATGAATTTATATATAAATGCTTACTTAAATTATTATGTTCGACGTAAACTTAATGTCATGAATAAATAAATAAAATAAAAAAGAGGAAGTTGGCATCACGGTTTTGATTGGTTGGAGATTCTTTCATATTCCTATTTGCAAATGTGTGTTTGGGAGTGCTTTTCACTCAACTTATTGACTTTTTGGAAAAACCAAGAATTTATGGTCTTTTAAAAAAATCACCTTTCCCCCCAAAAAATTAATGTTTATCAACAAAATTTTAACTTATTAACTCTTTAAAAAGAATTCCAAAACACCCACTCACACCCTATTCGATTGCTGCTGATAATTATATTTATTAAAATTCAGGTTTCATCCTAAGAGAGTTGGGTATGGGCAACACAATATGGCGTTATGGGTTAGGTGACACCTCTTAACCTAGTTATAACATGAGGAACACCACCCCCCTTTCATGTTAATAGTGTTATGTTATAAGATGTGGTAACGACAACATACCTCAACGGGAGAAATCAACCGATCACCATTTTCTTCTTCTTCTTCACTCTCTTTTCTTTCTAACTATTAACATGTTATAGCATTTCAACACCAACCCCACTTCTAGTTATGGTATTAGTAGTGTGATGTGGTATGTGATGTGACAATTTTGTGGTGTTATACCTATACCTACTAGTCTAAGCCGTGAACAAAGAAGACAAAGATGTGAATGACTCAATCAAAGAGGAATTCACATTCTTACCTTTTGAAATGTATTTGGTAGATTTTCGTGCACGCTAAAATTTCAAATCTTTGCTTATAGATACAATCTCTACTTTTCAATCAAATAGTTTTGAAGAAGAGTTATTGCTCAGGTGATTGAACTTGGGCTTTTCAGTGACCCGTATCTCATTTCTCTCAGAGATGTTCATTTGAGCCTCCTTTTTTTTATTCCATAATCAGTTTTAGCTGATAAAAACATTTTTTTTTTCCAATTTCTTGCTTTTACTATGGGAATAAAAAGGTAACACCCTTTTCAATGTGATGCAAATTATTCTGGAACAAGTTTTTGATGCCCATCTGAATCAGTAGTCTACAATTCCAATCACCAATCCATCTAAAATCAAGAGAGTTATATTTATTAACTTGTGATATATTTCTCTCATTTTTCTTGTTCTTTTATGCATCCCCTGTTTGCAACATTTATTAAACCATATTAATATTCCAATTTTCGATTATAAATTTGGATTTTTACCTCATTTCCTTTATTTGTAATGCTAATAGAACTAAAGTTTGAAAGATAAGTAGGTGTTTAAGGGAATTATTTTTTTTTGTTTGATTGAATACCCAACCCCATGATAGATGGAAGAAGAGGTAACTGTAATATAGCATCTCTTTTTCTCAGATGTCTTTGATTCAAAAAAAATATCAAAGACGTGTACGTGTAAGTGCAACTGCCAACACAAAAAAGTTAGGGTGGATGTATGTACAACTTTCTTTCTTCTTTGGTAAATTTCAAGCTTCCATCCTTTTCAGCACCTATTGATGGCCAGTCATTCTTGCAGAAAAAATAATAATCATCTATACAAAAATATACATTTTTCAATGTTGAATAACAATATTTCTGTGGTGATTGTGTGTTACATAATTGATATTTTAATTCATATCTTCAATTATTTTAATTTATTTTTAAAAACTATATATATATATATATATATATATATATATATATATATATAGAGATAGAGAGAGAGAGAGAGAGAGAGAGAGAGATTCCATGTACAATGATGTTTCTTTTTTACTTAATGACTTTATAGATTAGACATTTAATGTGGACAGTTATACATGATTGTTTCTTTTTTACTTTGTTTATTACGGGTTAAGCTAAAAAAAATTGCTCTTAATGTATTAGGATACCAACCAATTGTCTTTTTTCTTCACAATTACTCTCTTTCATGTTAAAATTGATGAATATTGTGAAAAAATAGTTGTTGGATTGTAAGGATAAAATGGTATTTACTTTTAGAAACAAATATGCAGCAATTATTTGTAAGGATAATAATAATAATAATAATAAATACCACAATCCAATCCCCCTTTGACTATAATAATACCACAATCCAAAACTCCCTTTCACCATACATGCCTTGATTTGTCATGTCTTAAAAGACCAAGTGACGATATTTCCATTTCAAACGTTCATAATTCCATTTTCCAATTTTACCCTAAATTTAAATGTACCCTTTTCAACATTGGGTGGAATGTTCAATGTGTGTCTAATATCATCATTTGATATTTATTGTTGGTCATATCTATCTTTTCTAATATTTTAAATGATTTTTTTTTCTAATATTTTAAATGATTTTTTTTTCACACGTTTGATGTGGTTTCCACGATGCTTAGAGAAGTTATGGATTTTAAATGCATTAGTTCGTAATAAAATAAAACTGACTTTCGGGGGTCCATAAGTATAAAATATAAAGATGTATTTCAGATGGAGAAAAAAGTAAAAGATATGAAAGGAACTTTGACGGGTGATTGATGAGTAGTGAGGGCAAATGTATATGGGAAAGGAATAGGGGGTGTGGGGTTGCTTATTCATTTTAGGTCAAACAAACATTGAAGACGCTCTATGTCCAAATTAAAAACTTTGGACTTAATTCAAAAAAATATAACCATACGGACAATTTCTATAATTTACCTTGATTTTAATGATAAAATTAAAGTAAGACAAAATTATATAAATAGTCCACTTGACAAAAAATCACATGTTCCTCCCTAACCCATGTAAAATATATGTACTACCATTTTTTACTATCTTGTACTTATTTCTGATTATATTAATGCTATATTAGAAGGCCCAACATAACGGTACCCACCTCATCCCGCCCCTTTTCTCCTTTCCCTTCCACCACCACTATACACCACCAAAAATTTGGATATTTGGGTTTCGGATTTGGATAATAAAAATTACAATTTTTAATATTCGGATTATCTGAAATATATAATAAAATATACAATTATCGGATATTCAAATTAGTTATGGTAGTTAAAGAGTCTAAAAGTTGGGGCATCATATGATTTTGAACATATATAAATTGCTAACTAATATAACACATGCATTTGTTTTAACCAAAATAACACTGTACTTATGATTGGTGTACCAAAACTACTTAGTCATTAAATGAAAACAATTCATTGAAATTAAACTAATCGTCGTCGTTGCAACACGCATGAATTTTGCATATATATATATATATATATATATATATATATATATATATATATATATATATATATAGAGAGAGAGAGAGAGTGTGTGTGTGTGTGTGTGTGTGAAAGAAAAGTAGGTTTCGTTGAGATTCCGAAAAAATAGAGATATTGAGAGATATTGACATTCAACCTCAGTTATATATTTCTCATTTGCCGTTCTAGTGCTCCGGCGTACCGGCGCGACGGGAGAATTATAATCATAAATGATTATTCAACGACGTCCATTCCTTTTTCCCCACCACCATAACCGCCATCACCACCACCATTACCACCACCTACCGACCCACCACCACCACCTTCGTCGCCTATACCACCGCCATCTCTGCCATCAACCACCATAATCATATATGATTAATCAATCTGTGAACAAACATATATATAATCATTTATGATTAGACATAGATGTATAAACATGTATAATCATATATGATTATACCTCTCTGTTATATAATCATTTATGATTAGGCATATCCCGCTGATGCCGGTACGGTGGAGCGTTAGAGCGGTCAATGAGAAATATGTGGCTGATGTTGAATCTCAATATCTCTATTTTTTTTAGAATGTCAAAGTGATATATATATATATATATATATATATATATATATATATAGAGAGAGAGAGAGAGAGAGAGAGATGCACAAACATATATATGGGTGTCGTTTTTTAATTTAATGAAGAAAGAACGACCTAATTTGGTAAACTTTTTATACGGAAATAATTTTCACCTCTAGGTCTCCTTGCTCAATGAGTTTTCCATTGGACAACAACACAGGGTATAATAACTTGTCAGCCTCAATACGACAAGTATATTTTGCCATAATATCAGGGCGATCCTAAAAGCAAAATAATAATGATAATAATAATAATAAAAGAAAAAGAAAAAATATAACTAGAAAACAAATCAATATCAATAATCACTTGATATAAGGAACCTGAAAATAAGTTATCTTTCTGAAACCTTCCGCTTCACATTGTGTGCAGAAATTACCAGACGACTTGTAAAGACCCTACAATACAACATTAATCAAATTTTATTAATTTTTATAAAGAAAAAACTTGCATAGTAAAAAAAATTTACCTCAAATGATGAGTTCTTTTGTAAAACTTCGGTTACGGTTTCCAAGATAAAACTCCCTCTTGGAGGTGCTTTGAGAATTAGATGTCGAGCATCTAAATCATAATCTCCCTCCTGAAGAAAAAAAATGTAAGATTTAGGTGTTGTTGTTTTTACTGTTTTTTTTTTTTTGAATCAACAAATACAAATAGTATAATCTACTCCTAAACTAACACCTAATTACACTTATGTCCACCACGAGACATGAACTCTCGACCTCAAGGAAGGAGGACACCACCTGATACCGCTGGGCTAAAAGCCCTTTGGTTGTTGTTTTTACTTGATGAACTTAATGTGGACATAACTTAATTTGAAAAAGAACGACTTAATAAATAAGCTCAAGGAAACGTGGATTTCCACATTAAGTACTTTTCTCTTTATTTTCTCGTTCCATTTCCAAGATGCATCGTCATTTTCTCAAAATACAAATAATTAACATCATTTATCAAGAAACTTAATGGGAAATTTAGTGTTTCCATACCTTCAATTCATTTCCATTAATCTTAACCGAAATCAGCTTGAGATCAATCCCATCCAAAACCAATGGAGCAGCAATACCTGTCGAAATAATATCCATTCACTAAACAATCAAGAAAATAACATAACTTTAACTCTGTTACACATCTTTTCATTTGATTAAGATATGTTATTAGAAATTATGTGTATCTCAATGAAAATCACAAAGCAGACCATCGACTCTAGGGACAACACTGATTTTTGCACACACGATTGTCTTTTCTTCACCCAATGAAAAACTTAAATCCACCTGGATTAAAAATTCATTAACTCAAAACAAAAACCATAAAGATGCAAACCCAAATAAAAACATGAATTTTAGTTGAACAAAGTACAAACCGTATCAAAGTAGTAATCAGGTAATTTGTAATCTTTGAGGAAAATCTCTTTAGGACCCTCCATTTTCGATTCTTCAACTGATTTTGACAAGGATCCGGTTGCACAGATGACAGAACAAGCGAATCTCCTACTCGTTTAATTAGTTCTCTAAATATCAAACATGAATCATTATTAATAAAGAATCTTATCTGTTATATGTGGAGTCCTAGATTATATATAAAGGTAACACTAATAAGAAAAACACAAATATAGTCCCTATACTATCAATATGTACAATGTAGGGTAATAGTATCTAACTGTTTATTAAACTAGTTTAAGTAAAAAAGACTAATATGGGAATCGGCAACTTTTGTGAAAATTTTATTAAGTCAAGCAGATAACAATCAAGAACACAAACGAACATAACGATTAAGAAATGGTATTGGGTAATCACATGTGCAGACGAAATCAAACCCAAGAGACATGTCCTCGGCAAGCTCGAACCTTTGCAGGGAATAATCAATCGAACCATGGTCAACTAATCGAGATTCCAGTAAATTCGCAAAAAAAAAAAAAAAAAAAAAAAAAAAAAAAAGGTATAATTTATTTCAAAAAAGATATCCAGATAAACAAAACCCCATAAAAAAAAATCTGACCCTTTTAAACCCTAAGTCCCTATTGATACAATCGACTGTGAAGTGACTAGTGAGCTACCAGTTGGGTGTTTCTTATACGGCTTGTATACAACATACGGTTAATTTGAAATAATGGTAAAGAAAAATCTGATTTAAAACCTCGAAAATGAAAAATTAAATTACCTTTCTTTGATCTGAGTGGTCAGTGATGGTGTGGGAATCTGAGAGCCTTGAGATGAAACAAAGATAAAAAAGAATCAACCCAAAGAGAAAGAGAAAGAGGGGATATTTAGATAAAGTTTTGATGATGATAACGTATAGATGGGTATTGCCAGCGTGGATTTGTAACTTTTTACAAACTAGCTACATGAATTTTTCTTAATCAAAAGATTTATTTCGTAAGGGGGTGTAAACAGGACCTGACACAACCCGAATGATCCAGAAACAGGAATTGACATTTTACTAGAATCGGGAACTGGATCGATATAAGGAAACTGGTTCCGGCTACATCGAGTTAACGCTATAAACAAACAAACATAAACAAACAAACATGAACAATGTAATTTGTTAAATGAACGAACATAAAAAAGAAAAATCGTTTGTTTATCCGTTTGTTTGTTCGAGTATATGAACGAACAAACATAAACAAGCATTTGTTCGTGTTTGTTCGGTTTGTTTACAACCATATATCGAGTTATAGAACCACTTTGGACCGTTTGGAACCAGATTTGGAGTTGGAACAGGATTTGGATTTGGAATCGGAATTGGTTTAGAACTGGAATTAGGGTATATCACGACTTTTGAAAAGGGGATGATTTATCAAATAAAAAAATAGCTTTTATAAAATAAAATAAAAAAATCAAATTTGATACCTCTTGTTTGTGGGTATGTAAGTCGGTCGATACATATCTAAATAGAGTGTTTTTGGAGTCTAAAAATAAAATAAAATAAAACATTGAACTATATTTTATAAAAGTTTAACCAAATGTCAAATTTGTCAAAAAGTCAACGGTTAAAATATTGCAACTGGTCTACACAATCCCCGACAGCGAACCGAAAAGGGGGCACACAAAGACTGTGAAACCAGGCACAAAGGAGCAGTCCAGAAAAAAAAAATTGGATCATCTGAGACTGGTCTTAAAAAGACTGAACATACGAGATCGGTATGGGGCCTCCAATGTCCATCTCTAGTTCTGTCACGGTGCATCTCTAGTTTTAAGAGGTATACCAAATTTTTTGTTGGATGATCTATGCATTTGGGCCTCTGATTTTCCTCGATTTTTATTTGAATTCATTATTTATATTATGAAATTAAACAATTTCCCACAAAGAGATATAAATCAACATATTTTTAGCTTCAAATATCGGTGTGTTTAGGTAAATTTATTCCTCATGCATATCATATTGGTTTCCTAAAAAATCCATCTGAATTATAAGAAATAAATATTCCGCAAATTTGATGGAGTTGATATCATTATTCTAAGAAACAAATATACATTAAATTCTTAAGTTAGATAAAATTTATGATTTGGATTCATACGATTGTTACATGAAATAATCACAACTATGAGTCATTGTCATAGAACTTTGTTATGATAGAGCTTTTGTAATGTTCACTAGAAATGTTATTTTTCGTTTATTTAGGAATCTAAAATCCATACATGATGTTGGGTATAACTTGTTATCAATTGATTAATGTAACATGACATATCATTCTTATAAGCATTATTATTATTTCAATATTATTGGGTATTGACCCCAGTAGATAAAGCAATTTGGGTCAAGAACTGACGATGTAAATTGTTTGTTGAATTGTTAGTGTTTTTTAGTATATCTGTAAGCCCACTATCAAGTAAATGGAGTGAATTACCTAATAGCCCAATGCACATTCCTGTCAAATAGTTAATGAGGATATTTTAGTGTGTGTATATATATATATATATATATATATATATATATATATATATATATTTATGAGTTATAATTTTAATACATTTGTGAGTAAATGGCTTGAGTTATTTTTTATGATGTAGTTAAAATAGTAAAATGGAAAAATATCTATGATGAAAGGATCAAATGAGTTATATATACCAAATGCCTCATAAGTTTATATGCATATAATCCTTTTTATCATTTTATTCAAAAAGGTTAAATTATCAATTTAAATAGTTTTGTAATTGTGTTTAATGTATTTAATATCATAAATTTATTTAATTATAACTTAATACTCAAGGTTCCTATATATATCGAACCAATTATTGAACAGGGACGATTTATAAAGTAAAATTGGTTGATTTCATTTTTATAGCGGTATTTTTAAGAAAAAAAAAATTCCAATATTTTGAATTTTTTTTTTCTGAATAAAATCTAATTCTTTTTTAATAAATCAAATAAAAAACTTGATCATTTTTTTTAAATCCAATATTTTGATCTGTTTTTCCGAATAAAATCTGATTCCTTTTTTATAAATCAAATCAAAAACCTATCAATTTTTTTCTTTCTACAAGGTTTTCAAGATCACTATCCAGTAAAGAGAATCAATTTTATGCAAATAAGAATCAATTTCAAGAGTGGTCCATGGGTTATAATAAAGTTGAAGGTTTATTTTAACAAGCTTTTTTGTAACAATATTGTCTAAAGTATAACCCATCTAAAATGATATTTTTATCAATTTTCTAATATATTTTGAGTATCACCTTTTTTTGACTTTGGATCACATTTTTCTAACAAGAGTAAATTCCGAAGGGAATAATAAGACCGTGTATTACATGTTTGTGGGATGTAATGTTGCGATATTTTATGGCGTTTTAATTGGTATTTGATGAAATATTCAAGTCTTGTATTTTGTTATTGCTAAAGATTTTGTTGGTTGGGTTGAGCATTTAACACTATCTTTCTCTAAAAATAAATGTTTCAATGTGGCTTTTCTCGCAGATTTGAACCATTTCGTCTTTTCGCAATACATTCATTTTCAACACTCAAAAACCGAGAAAGGAAGACATGTTGAATAATATTGTGCATCATCAGTCGTTTTGTTGAATCTCTAGTACATTTCCTATAACGAAGTTGGATCTGATTGGTTGGATTAAAGATCCAATAACATTTTTATATTAATTTGATTTTGAAGCAGTGAAAAAATTAATAAGTCAATATATCTCCTGTTGTTCAATCCGTATAGCTTGGCTCTCTTGAGTTGCTCAACTAACAAAGACTTCTTTTAAATTTGGACTTATAATTGGAAGCACTTACTTCAACTCTTGAGCCAATTTGCTTTTGTTTATTGTTATAGCAATGATTAATGATTATTGGTTTATATATTTAACAATTTCCTTTTATGTCTTTGTTTGTCTGTATGCAATCTGGTTATTTGTAATTGGCAAATTATTTGATTTTTTATTGATTTCTATGTTTAGTTACTTTAAATGGTTTTCTCTTAGGAAGTCTATGTCCAATGACTTTTTTTTTTTTTTTTTTGAAAAGATTTAGTAGAAGACTAACCACAATATTTCAATGGTGACCCCGAGTTCGAATTCGTTTACAAGGCAAACTCAGACCCCAAGAAATTTCCAGGGAAAAACTTGACATACATGAGACATAATTGCAAGAGACAAATTTTAACAAACAATATAGTCCCAAAGGGATAACTAATGAGTGTTGTCCATGAGTTTTCTGTTTCATATATTAAATATTTTTTTATTTTAATATAAAATTGTTATTTATTAATAGGAATAAAATGGTTATTTATTTTGGTTTTTTAATGTTTCTTTGATTGGTTCTTCAAAGTCTGCAAGTGTGAGTCTTATGACGGATATCAGGCTTATTTTGTTTGGTTTTTTATATAGGTCTTTGCTAACAGTATTAACCCATTATGTATGGCTTTTTTTACTTTTAGAGTTAAATGTATCAATCACTATTCAAATTAATATTTGTTTTGTTGTTATTTTTAGATTATTTCTTTCAGAAAGTTCCAACTGTTATCACTTATTTCAAATTTTATCTTTTTTTTAGCTTGTATATTATTGTATATATAATATTTGTGTTAATTATCGAAGGCATTAAGTTGCAGAAAGTTTTTCTCAATTTTAAAGTTGTTTGAAGTCAGTATTCGCGGACTTGACTCAAGAAAAAGGGAAAATGACTCTTGAGGGTAACTAACTGTTGCGTTTGTTTTCATTTGATCAATTTCTTTTTTTTTGT